GGTGAATGGGAGCCAGGAGAAGTGTTATTGGGGGAATTCGGTGGTGGAGGTGGTGGTCGAGGAGGGGGCGAGGGTTTCACATACGTATTTGCAGAGACAGTCGGTGAATTCGGCGCATATCAAGTGGACGTTTACGCGGCAGGTAATTGTTTTGTCGATAAGAACTTTTTAAAGTAATGATTTTGTGATGTTGATGGATGAAAAGATTATGCCTTGGATTATGTGTTGTAGTTTTAGAGTATTATTATTCAACCTTATGAACACTTGTTATATGTATAACTGTATTAACTGTGCAAAGCGCACCCTTGATGATGAGACAGAGTACTAAATGGGCGCAATACTATCTGGTAAAATAGTGATTCTGCTTTTAGAAAGACACAAGTTAACAACCCAAAGAAAGAAGAGAAACTGTATGATTGTCGTCCCGTCAGTGCAAATATTAGAAATGATTCCAACTGAGTAGCTTTAGACTGGATGCAGTGAAAAAGGCTAGTAACGAACGAAGACACTGACTGGTGGAAGTAGAGTATCAAGAATGTAGCCAACAAATAGCCACCATTCTCTGCATTGGAAGAACCCTTTTGGGTTATGTCCTCATTATCAGTCTGTAGGCTTTATACCTTCATATCTTAGGTGACACTAGCTAGCGTTCATAAAAAATGAAGCTGAAAGTTTAAAGCAAACAAGCATTCCATTCAAAATTCCTTAAGTGTAGTAGCTGTTGATACACCCAATGGGATGTCATTGCTGCAGAAAGCTTCCCGTGCTAATTGGTTTATAGAACATCCACCACGCATGACTTGTTGTGTTTGCCCATAAATCCCATTGCAGCGGTTGATGAAGAGTTTCATGCAATCTTTTACATGATTTTGCACTAATTCGAAGTTTTGTGAGGTTATTTATCTGCAGTCACCATGATGAGTTTCTTTTCTTCCTAAACATTATCCAGGCTAACTGGATACCATAGGACAGTCCACTAGTTTTCCGTCAGAAAGCGTCTGTAACCAGCACATGTCAGCCTCATACAAGATAGTGAGTTGTCTACAACCAAGTGCCTTGCATACTTTTCTCTCTTTCTGGTGATGGTACTAGATCGAGGAACTATTACTCTAGGATTATCACAAACAGAGTTAATAGTTTACCCTTTTGTATTTCTTCCTCGGATAAATGAATTATTTACCCCTTGTTGCACTTTGATAAGAGTCCTAGATACTATACCATCCGAAGGATGAATACAAAGGATAAAATATCAGGGTTAATCCTATAACGACTAACCTTGAAGACAGAAAAGAGTTTGAAATCCAGTTAGCAGAACTCTTCAAACCAATTTGATTCAAAAAACAGAATCAAATCATTTTTCTCTTGCTTTCATGGTAAGAAACCATGCTGAGCAAAAGAGAGGAAAAGCAAGGATGGTCATTAACTTTATTAAGTTTTATTTCTGTTAATAATATGCAGTTCTAAATTCCTTCTTTCTCCAATCTGTCTTTATTATGTAAGTTTAATTTTACTATTTTGTTCATAATTCCTTTGTTTATCAAGCTACGCCTAGAGGTAGGAAATGAAACTAGGTTGTGCTCTCTCTCTGAAGCAGCATGCTAGGATTGTGGTCATGTTAGTATAGCGGCATGAGTGCTGCTAGGTTGAGTTCGAGTCCTAAGTCTGCAGAGAAAGCCACCTGCAAGACTGTATGTGTTTAGCTGGAGAAAAAAGGGTCAAACCCTTGATAAACAAAGTAGAGAATAAACAGATTAGTAGAATTATTTAGCAGAAGAAGAGATAGAGCAAGGAGAAAGAAAAACTAAAATTATGTCTAGATTAATTCAAGAATCCTGTAAGTTAAGTGCTGAACCTAAGAGTTATAAGCACTTGCTTCATTTACCCAAAGACTCTTGAATCCCTAACCAACCAGGATTTGGCTTCCATGCTAAATTCTGTAATAGCCATGGTCTATCCCATTAAGGATATAAATATAAATATCCTAAATCTTCAAAAACAAATTGAAGAAATTAAATCTTTAAACAACTGTCCAAATCATAGCGAAAAATCTCCTCGTAAATGGCGTTGGACAAATAATCTAAATATGATGATGAAAAGATCTAACAGATATCCTTCAACCAGAGACTTTTAGTTCATCGAATAGGGTTGTATTGAGACAACAAATACAAATCCTAACACAACAAGTACAAGACGCACAAACAGAATTTGCTGCTTTACATCAAACAAATCAACCGTTAGATAATAACAGTTCTTTACTAAACTATTATTCTGATGATAGTCAAATTGATTCATCATCAGAAATAAGTGAATATGAAGATACTCTTGTCATAAATATGGCAAATGAAGAGGTAGGAGAATCCTCAGTCATAGGGTCACCTCCCACACAAAAACCAGAACGACCCAGTTTTCCACTAGGTTAATGGGAAAAATTGGGAAAAAATGACCAATGGAACCAAATGTTTGGTATGCCAGAGTTAAAAACCCTTAGTCTAAGCCATCCTCCTCGGAAGAAAAGCAAAGAGACTTACCATCACAAATGCGGACGAAATACAAACAAATATATGAAGAAGCCACAATACATAAGCCTGTAAGCATGAGAGGACTCTATTTTAATATAGACAATATCCCAATAATAGAAAGAACAAATTATATAAATAGGTGGACCCAACACATTATTGGGATAATGAATTTCTATGAATGGAAAACACCCTAATTCATGGAATATGTAACTTTCCTATTTGACGGTATGATCTCTGACTGGGTAAAGCTATTAGACGTTATTAGAGATGAAAATAAAGAAAAAATGAAAAACATAATGCCAGATCATGTTGTCTGTAATTATGAATGAACTATGCAAAGGCCTTTGTGGTCAACCATTAGACAAACTAGAACTTGACATAAAACGTAAACTCTTACAGATGAGATTATGTCAGATCTGTTATGTAGAAGAGTTTTTAATAGATTATGTCAGATCTGTTAAATGACCTTAAAATTGATCTAGACTTAAATCAATTTAAGTCATTTAAAGCAATATAAGAAGATACAAATGCCAGAAGAGACATTCATTGTTGCTAGTAATAAAATTAGAACTACATATAAATCAACCAAGGAGTTTTTAATAAAATTAGAACTACATATATAAATCAACCAAGGAGCCTTTCTTTTCGGAAAAAAGAAGACCCAACCCCAACTTTTTACTACCATCATAATCACAAAATGGAAAACCACAAAAAGAAATCAAACAACTTAATTATAATATTCCAGTTGCCAATGATTTTGAAAAAACTATTACAATGTTATCACCGTTATACAGTGATAACCCCTTGCTGCACTTTGATAAGAGTCCTAGATATTGTACCATCCAAATGAAGGACGAATACAAAGGAGAAAATATCAGGGTAATAAAACAGAATTAAATTCTTCTTCTTCTGCTTTCATGGTAAGAAACCATGCTGAGCGAAAGAGAGGAAAAACAAGGATGATCATTAACTATAAAAAGGTTAATGAAGCAACCAAATTTTGCGGATTCTTCATCCCAGTAGCAAATTGCTATTACATAGAATCCGAGATGCCAGATGGTTTAGCAGTTTAGCAAATTTGATGCTAAATTAAGTTTTTTGGCAGATCAAAATAAATGATGAAGAGAGCACAAGGCTAACGACATTTAGTTCTCCTAATGGAGGACATTATAAATGGAACGTTATGTCATTTGGTCTAAAAAATGCTTCTCAAATATTCCAAAAATGGATGAATAGCATTTTTGGACACTATTTGTTGTTGTCTATATTGACGACATTCTTGTGTTTCTCAAAAACTAAAGAAGAACACAAAGAACATCTGATAGTTGTAACAAATGTATTGCTCAATCATAGTATTAATTTATCCTCTAAAAAGATAACTCTGATGAAAGAGGATATCGAATGGTACTAGATCGAGGTAAACAGAGTTAATAGTTTCCGCCTTTGTATTTCTTCCTCAGATGAATGAATTGTTAAGGCATGGTTCTCTCTATGTAGTATGTGCAGCCCAAGCCTGAATGTGGCTTCAATGGATATGTACGTATTTTGTCAAAATCAGGCTTGATGAGGGTTATTGAAGTCATCTTGCTGAGTCTTGGGGTGCTGAGATCCACCTGACGCTGTAGAAAACCCTAGAAGCAAGCTAATAAATTAATTGTCATCACATTATTTTTTACAGCTTTAATCTATTAATTACTCAGAAAATGTACAAATATTAACTTTTGTAGCTTTTGATGTTGAAAGATAATACAAGTTTGAGGACTTAAAACTTTATAATATAAATTATGTGCAGGAAGCATCAAGTACTTATGAGCTTGTTGAGATAAGTACCGGCGGAAAATTGAGCAGGCATAATCTTTACATCCAACAGCTAGGCCCCGACACAGTGACAGAACTGTCGACATTTCATGTGGCTCAAAATAACCAGATACAAGATTTGCATAGTAGATTAGTCTTGGATCATCCTAGAGGTGTTTCTCGTCAGCTTCACAAGTGCATCGTGTCTCACTCCACAGGACGGGCTGTTTTTGATGGGAACATAAAGGTTAACAGGTACTCCACTTTTGCAATTGAAACCATTTTTTTAAAGGTATTTTTACCGTTGCTATAACTTTTTAGAGTTACAAGTATACACAACTAAAATTTGGAGTCTGAATGTGGTTCGAATGGTAACTCCTTTGGAGTTTGAATGTTTTAAGAATGGTATGGAACTCCAACTTCCATAACAAAATGCTACTGGGGTGGCTTTTCTTAAATTTCACAAAACCTCCCTGAAGTGTGAAATCCCCTTGAACTTTATAAGTCATGAAAAAAAAATCCATTGGATATGTCTCACTAAGTACCTGAGTGATGACTTATGAGGGTAACTTAAAGTTCTCACGTAGATATGTAACAAAGTTTGGATAGTTTTATCCCTGTCTTCTAAAATAACTTCTATTTTATTCTTTCTGGTAAAAGTAGGTAAGAAGTGAAGTAATTAAAAAAAACATAGTCTTAAACTTCTTACTCTACTTGTTAACTCTCGTTATGATAACTCACAACAGTTCAGCGGGTTTTAGTATAATTTTAAAAGTTCATGGGGTTTTCGTCCTTCTGATTTATAAACTTTCTGTGGAATTTTGTGCAAACCCCCAAAGTTCAGGGGTTTTTGTGAAATATATAATGTTTCAAAAACAGTCCACGCCATTATTTTGACCATGGATTTTTTTCGGGCATCTCTCCATGTACATTCCACAGATTTGCTCAACAAACTGATGCTGGGCAACTAACAAGATCTCTTCTCTTAACACGGAATGCAACAGTCAACCTGAAACCAAACCTGCAGATCATCGCCGACGATGTGAAATGTTCTCATGGAGCAGCGGTCAGTGATCTCGAAGAAGACCAGCTCTTCTATTTCCAAGCAAGAGGCATAGACTTGCAAGCAGCAAGAGACGCCCTTCTCTTCTCCTTTGGAGCTGAGGTCTTTGAGCGCATTCCTTTTGAGGCATTTAGGAAGAGTGTTAGTAGTCAAATTAGAGAAGTTTTGAAAGGGTGATGGGTGTGAGATGACCGCATGTGTGATCATATTACCCTTGTAATTTATGATTTTTTTCCTTCTTGAAATTGGTATTATAGGAAAGCAAAAGGTTGGAGAAAACGCGCAATCTGTAAGTTAAATATTTGTCTATTCCCTTCAAAAATGATATATTTTATGTTCTCTTATCGTCTTATTTTCCCCACAGTATCACCATTATAGTGTCGTCCTTGGAACATGAATGCAGACGTCGAAGTTGTACTATCTAAATCCAGTTCCATGTTAAAGTTTGAAATTTTTAGTTCGTGAGAAATTGCATTGGAATTTGTAAGTTAAATCATATTTTCTTTTTCTTTGAAAGCGCTTCTTCGGAGTTTCTCTCTACTATTACATTCAATTAACACACTTTTAATACATATTTATATGAAATGATTAACAATATTTTCCAACAGGATACTTAGTTTTCAATTATATGTTTATCATGATTTTGTAACTTTTGTCTAATTGTAACATTTTAGTTAAGGGCCTGTTTGGTTATTTTCTAAAAATCCAAGAAATAGAAATGAAAACCAAGAAAACTCAAAAAGTACAATTTTATCCATTTCCATCCTTAAAACTCACCCACAACATCTAATAAAATATTATTTTTATCCAACAACTCATCCACCACATCTAATAAAATATTATTTTTATCCACAACATCACTCAACTCATCTCATCTCATTATTTCAAATCACTCACATCATCCAATAAGATAGTGACAACTCATATCATCTTATTAACATTTTATTTCCACACATTTCCTCCTAAAAAGTTAGGAAAACAATTTCCTTAAGTGTGAGTCACATCATCCAATAATATAATGACAACTCATCTCATCTCATCTCATCTATTTTCTTATTTTTAAGAATGAACCAAACAAAAGAAAACAACCTATTACAAGAAATATGTTTCTTATAATTCATTTCCTTATTTTTTTCGCCAACCAAACAACATCAAAACAAGTTTTCTTAAAAAATCACTCACATCATCCTATAATAAGGTGACAACTATCTCATCTCATATCCATTTCTTTGATTTCCTTCTTTTTTTAGCAAACTAAACACTCTTAAAACAATTCTTCTTAGAAATAGTTTTCCATTTCTTTGATTTCCCACTTTTTTTAGGCAAACAAAAAGACCCTAATTTGAGTATTTGTTACAATTGTACAGGGAAAGTCAATAAATTCGCATCCATCTTGAGGCAGAAAAAAGTATCCCAAATAGTTAAACCTTCCTTCTTTTCTACGTGCAGTTGTACAGCCCAATAATAATCTAATACGTCATAGAGCCAAAAAGGCATCTCCTTTTATCATTTCATACTACAAACTAATGCATCTTATTCTTGATCTATGCGAAACCACAAAAGGTAAAGTATGCAGCGAACATGATCTATGACAATAATGATGCACTAAAGAAATGACAACAGCAGGTCAGCTTGAATTTTGTGTACCGGTCCAAAGTTTTTCTTCTTTTCTATGCGCAATTATTGCAATAAATCAGGTAGTGTTGTATCATGAGAATTACCAAGTCTAATGAACTCTGGAGAGTCGGATACATGTTATAATTAACTGGTCAGTCCTACTAATCCGAAAGCTCGACTCTGGTGAGAGCATCGTCGATCCTCCTGGTAGTCTAAGTTCGGGATGAAATGCATCTTCTAGTCGGAGTACGCTAAAAGAAGCTGAGTCCGAGAGGCGTCTTCTACTCGGACCCTTGCTAGAGAATGTCTTGAATGATGATACGACCTATTAGCTTCAACAGTCGTACTTCACCTCAATCACCGTCACAATTTGAGTTAGAGTCATTATGACTCTTTGAGCTGAAGTTATGACTCCTTGGACCAACACCAGCACGTCAACTGTTCTGTCATTGTTCTAGTAAATGTGAAGGTGACTCATTCAACTGACTGTCGATACATGTAAAGTACAGTCTTATCAGTCGACTGTACCGACACGATCAAATTACTGATGTGCCCCTACCAACCCTCTATAAACAGTGGGCAATCTCCACTATTCGAAAGCACAGAAAAAACTGCTAAATTATTCCCTAAAACTAGATTATGTAAGTTTGCTTAATCTATCACTGAATTGAATGTCGAAGCACACGTCAGAGCAGCGGCCAACTAACAGGTGTTTCTTGTCAGAGCAGCGGCCAACTAACAGGTGTTTCTTGAGCAAGAATCTACTTCCTCCTAACTAATCAGCTATCAAGGAAGATGAAGGAACCTTAAACTCCTCCAAATATCCACTAATCCATGCAATTAACTTTCTAACATAAATAGTTTGGTGCCTACCTGCGGCCTCTTTTTCTCCCTTTGAGAAAATGGCTGATTCCGTTCTACGATTCCAAATTCAAACACTCTTAGAGAATCTTCTGGTTTTGGCTATCTCACTCAAACCCAGTTGGATGAGTCTACCCAAAGGATAGCTTAATCTCTCCAACAGCAGTTCTCTTCATTCACCAACAAACTTCTTAGATGTGTTCTTCCCTCTCAATCTTCTCCATCGCCCGCCACCTCTCTCCTTGAAGGGCAACACTAGTGACAGGAGTAAGAGGAGTGAGTTAGGGAAACCAACCCCAACCATTGCAGCAAACCCGCTTTATCGTCGATCCATGACAACCTCTGCTTCATCTGGAGGTGATAGAAGAAAGCTCAACCTATAGCCTAACTCTTACTGCAGGTGTCAAACATACCTATATGACCCAACCCCCAGCAACCTGGCCCCTCTATAGTCCATTTAGCTTAAGGCTATGATCAGATGTACAACATGGTGGTCGACGTCATCGGGGGAAATACTCCTCTCTTGGAGGATATTTGAACGTCTCCTATCCTAAATTTAAGATGCCCTACATTGAAAAATACAAGGGTAAAGGTGACTCATCCAAATATGCACAGAATTTCTTTGACATGATAAGCATGCAGCATGTGACCAACCTGATCATTTGTAGAGCCTTTTCTGTTACCCTCAGTGATAATGCGAATATGTGGTGGAATTCTCTGGAGAAGAGATCCATTCACAACATCGAACAATTTAGTCAGGAATTTGTGAACCGCTTTCTGACAGATACAAAACAGAATGCACCCTTCGCTCTCCTATTGCAGATCAAGCAAAAGACAGGAGAAACCTAAAGAGGGTATTTTAAAAGATTCCAAGCTAAGTGCTTGGAAGCGGAAGACTCTAGCAACATGGTCGCCATGGCGGACATCATTGCGGGTCTGGAGGATGAGAAATTACCTAATTCTCTCATTATGCACCTCATGGCCAACTTTGACCAACTCATGGCAAAAAACTATTCACACAAGAATGCAGAGGATAGCTGCACCCATAAGAAGGCAGCCCGACAGGAAGTCGTAGAAGCCAAAGATCCAGCCGAGTTGATAAAAGACCAGAGAAAGGAGACAATGAGGAAACCAATACTCACTCACCTTCAATGCCCACCTTTTGCAAGCGTTGCATTTGATCCAGAAAGAGGGACACCTTATCAAGGTATCGTCTCCTATGAGATCAAAGTCTCAAAATAGAGATATCCAACAATACCTTCAATACCACCAGGACAATGGCCACAACACTAATGATTGCTGAATTTTGTGTAGAGACATTAATGATCTCATCCAAAGAGCTTTGTTGAAGAGGTTCCTTGCCAACTATGACAAGGAAGAGCCAGCTTAAGAGAAATTAGAGAGAAGGAGATCCAGGTCAAGGCTGGCAGAATGATTAGTCAAAGGAGGTCAGCCACAAAAGCATCATTAACACCATCGGTGGTGGCCCTGCTATAAGGAGAATATCAAATAATGCTCGAAAGAGATTTGTCGATGAGCTTTAGAGGTGAATCTTTGTGAGAAAAACCTCAAAGTATATCAGCCCGTCTCCTTCAGCGACACTAACCTGAAAGGCATGATGACACCTCATGATGATCTCATCATCATCTCTGTGCAAATTGATGGATTCCAGGTCAAGAAGATCTTGATAAACACTAAAAGTTTTGCAGATGTCATGTTCATGGGCGCATTCAACCAAACGGGAGTTGACAAATCCGAGCTATGACCTTGCCTGAGTCCCCTTGTAGGGTTCTCGGCTCACTCGGTTCAACCAAAAGGGTTAGATTGCCCAAATTATGGTAGTCAGTGACTACCCTCGCTCTCCATGATTCATGTCTAGTTTATTGTGATGGATATTGAATCAACCTACAACGTCATCCTCGGGAGGACTTTCTTAAATGACCTCTAAGTTGTTCTCTCCACCTACCACCAAATGATCAAGTTCCTAACTCCATAATAGGTTGGCCTTGTAGATGACATCCTAGTGAAGTCCAAATAGGCTAACTCTTTTGTTCTGGATCTCAAAGAAACCTTATCTGTTCTTCGCCAATACCAGAAGAAGCTCAACCTTGCGAAGTGCACCTTTAGGGCTCAGTTAGGCAAATTCTTTGATTTCATAATAATCTAATCAGGAATTGGAGAAGATAGATGCTATTAAAGGGATATTCAAGCCTTGCAGGTGAGAGATATCCAAAAGCTGAATAGAAAAATAGCAGCTTCGAGCCATTTTCTCTCGGGTTAGTATCACTTAAAAATATTTAGTTTACATGTTCTGACACTTTAATACCATAAGTTGTATTTTGTATCAATAAAATACCAAAAGTTGTCTATCGTTAGTCAAGTTGGCACCTTTGGTTATTCATACATAGGAATATTCAGAATATTCCAAAGAATATTTAGAATATTCCAAAGAATATTCCTATATGAATCTTACACGGTAAACTTAAGCTATTCTTACCCTCATTTATTGGTTTATTTATAATCCTACCAACCCTTGCCAACCCTTGATCTATTTAGAACTTCTCTCATTAATTCTCAAACCTAACTCCCCTCCAAAATTATAGTTTTTCATTCTTCATTGCAGGAATTATGAAATCAAGCTCTAGGATTTTAAGTGATGTTTTAAGCTATGGTATAGGTGAAGAAAAGGAGACTAGGGTTTACTATTGTAAGGAGATTTCAATTATGAAGACGGCTCGGACAATGGAGAACTATGAGAGACGTTTTTTTGGCTATCCAAACTATCGAATTGGGTCAAGGTGCCAGTTTTTTGAGTGAAAAGATGAGCCCCTTCCCTCTCCAAGCTCAAATAGTGACTAATAAGTTGTTATGTGAAAAA